CATCAATGGAAGCATCTTATCACAAGAGAGACACAAACATGAGTGATCGATATTAATGACTCGTACAAGGTTTGGTACGGGCATACCAGTAGATAAATTATTGGACCTCTGTTAGATAGACCACCTATTGGATTCTAGCCTATTGATAGCATCATAGAGATATTGGTAACTTAATACATGAGTTCATTGATCAATATACATTAAAAAAATACATAAATAATTTTTTGCTAATGTAATTCACTTTTACATTATAGGAACGTACATTTTGTACAGATTCACTAGATCATACCCTTGAGGATGGTACGGACTCAACACATGCACAGGCGCTGTGTGACACATGGTCTCTTTGCTCCACTTGCCTTGTGGCTGTTCGAGAGGACCATCATCTCCATCATAATCTCCACTCGTGAGCCACCACCTATACCACAAACTACACCGCATGCACTGCCCACTGTACATACGAGGCATCATGGGGTTGTTGTACGATGATAGAGATCTCCTCATCTTTATCTGGTCAGTCGGGTAGATAATGATGTCGACATAGTACCAAGCTCGAGTGTACCTGAGCTGGCAATAGAGCCGAGCATGAATTTTCAGACACCAACCCCTACCATACCTCATCAACCCTTATCTAGTACTATACCTCATCATACACCACCGCTTATTGTACCTTTAGAGATACCATTCACTACGAGTCTGCCATATACCCCAGCACATACTGGACCATTTCATACACAAGCTTCTATGGTGACTGCCATACTTTTGAAGTATACTACAAGGCATGTTTCTCCCATTATTGCGCTAGGCATTTCCACGGAAGATGCCCCAAAATTTATATTGGTCACTCAATCTATCTTTTAGGATGCACACATGGCATCACCTCCTACAGTTGTAAAGATGTCACACCTAGTCGAGGATGTCACACAGGAGAATCATACACATGTTAATATGAAACCTATAGTTGTACAGATGTCACAACAACGATTCTATTTGCGCATATTATTTCATTGATTCAAGGTCGAGGTGGTAGAGGTCAAGGTGGGAGATTTCAAGGTGGTCAAGGCTTAGGCCAAATAGGACTACAATGTCTACTATTGAAGAGATGGTTTAATAATTCATTGACGGGGAACCGTCAGAGTTAGAGGCACGATGTCCAAAACTACTGAGGAAGAAGCCGTCTTGTGACACTTAGTTTTATCATATTGTTAATTTATATTCATATATATTTAATAGATTAGTTTCATTGTTTTCTATGAAACTTAAGTAGTAACAAATTGATTGTAGTAGTAGTGGTGGTGGTGTGGTGGTTGTTGTTGTGTTTTTGATTGTGGTTGTGGTTGTGGATATGTTTGTGGTAGTTGTTGTGATATTGTATATGCAGGTTAAATCAATTTTGGTAGGGTCAATTTTTTAGGGGAAACTTTGCCCAAATTTTTTGAAATGTATGTGTAAAGTTAGTATTTATAGTTTCTATACCACCATTTCATACTACAATATTTTTCAATTGAGACTATTATATTGTTTTGATTGTTATGTTGTGCATTCAACTCTACTTAAATACTTTTGATAACATATGACAATAAATGATACATGTTATTTAAGTTGAAAATAAAAGTATAGATAAACTACTATAGCTAGACATAAATTACTAGAAATATATAACATGACTACATCTATAGACGCACATTAGTATAACCACTGGGAGGATAAACTAAATAAGCATGAGTACATATTGTGTGCATAACAACACACTCTCTACTTTCTCAGTATTATCAATGTCATAACAACACACTTGTCAATTTCAATGTTAAGTCATTAGTGTCTAGTCAATATTATTGTTCACTTATCAATGTCTTTTAAGTGAAATAACTTACTGCCCGGCTCAACACTTCCAGTAAGTTTTTTAAATTTTTTTAAAATTGTTCATTCCAATAATTACTTTGTGTATATATACGCATTTGTTCGCAGTGTAAACCCTACACTAAAATGTTGACAAGATCATCATTCGGGTCTTCAAGCCAAACAAACGATAAGTCATACTCGAGCAACCAACGACAACATTGTGGTGCACAACAACATCAAATTGATTCGTCATTTAGTTCACCAGAACCCAGTAGGTACACAGATCCCAGTGGTGTAATGTGGTATAGAAACTTGCGTTACTTTTAGAATGAGCCAATCAACATTCATAACTCTTTCACATAAGTCGGTCCTGTGATGATTGAACCTGCAACTATTGTTCCTCCTTTAGAGTTCTATTTCTACCTATAGGGACCAAAGTGGTTGAAATCTTATTTCAAGTACTATGAGCTTGAAGTATATTGTTGTTGGCATGGATTACGAGTGCCATATGCATGTTCAGCTAAAATTTTCATGAAATAATGCACAGATAACTATGATGATATTATTGTAAGACTTGAACTTGAGAATGATCAGATGCAACGATGTCTATATTGATTCCACCTTATCAAAAAGGCAAAGATTGAACATTCAGATCCTTCCGAGGCTATTAATGCAATAATATCCGATCCATTACTGACTTCTGACAATAAACTTATTAACTTTGAAGAATCAAGTGATGATGATTACGAAAAATTTCTCCCTGCTACACTACACTTATGTGGCAAACCACTATACTGTTGAGAACATGATCATCATTAGAAATATTTTATCGTATGTCTATTTCATGTCCTATGAAACAAAATCTTGTATTTCTATTTCAGATAAATAAATAAAGTCTCTTTATTTTGAAGGTTTTTTCTTATTTCTGGGTTTTTTTTATACATTGGGTACATGAAAAGTTTGACAAGTCTTTGGCATTTTATTCACAAATGGGTTTAGTCTGAAAAAATAGATTAATTGAAACCTCCTTATATATTTCTAAAAAGTGGATGAGAAAGCACATTTGTTAAAGTAATATTTCAGTATATCAAAATATAATAGGAAAAGATTAGTTTAACATGCTCTATAAAACAGATTTATAGGTTGGTTTACTCACAAATGGGATTGGTTTGGAAAAACGAATTTATTGAACCCATTTATATATGAAAACAGATTCAACAAATCTGCTTTTAGGGGCCCTTATTTTGGAAAATTTAAGTCATTTAAAGTCGTATTTGTAAATCCATTTTTAATGAAAGCGGATTCAACAAATACGCTTTTATTTGAAAGTAGATTTACTGATATCACTTTTAAAAAGTCATGAAAACGGGTTCAACAAAGCCATTTTTTAATTTAAAAATGGATTTGCTGACTCTACTTTATGAGTGAAAGCGGATTTGTTGACTCTGCTTACAAAAAGTGCCCTAAATTGATAAAAAAATTTCAAAATTGTCGTAGATCGATATTTTTATTCAAAAATAGCAATACATTGTTAATAAATTCCATGTGAATGGGAGTTGTTTGATAGGTTGTTGTGACTGTGTTTGAGTATTGTTGTTTATGTCAAATCAATTTGTGTTGGCTCACAAGGCGCCATGGTTCGGCCCTAAAAGTAATCCCCTTGGCCATGCCCACTTAAGCTACATACAGGTCACAACAGTTTTCTTAACTCATCGTTCAGCACAATCATGACTTGGCCCAAGGTTGGCCTGGCTCTCCCAAGCTTGTCATTTTTTCGGCCAAGTTCTATGGCACAGCCCATGAAAATCCTTAACATTAATGCTCCGTTTGGTGGGGAAGATGGAAAGTAGGAGGGATACACTTTCCTTCCTTTGTGTTTAGTTGGATGGATTGAAAATAAAAATGACTATTTTTTTTTTTTTTTTGTGTTAGCTAAGATTAGAGGTGACAATAGAGTTAAGTCGTGTCGTGTTAGATTCGTGTTGAGTCATTACAAGTTTGTGCCGAATATTAGTTAAACATAACTTAACTCATTTAATTAATTGTGTCGTGTCGAGTTACGAGTTGACCTATTTATTTTCGTATCGAGTTTGAGTCGTATTATTGTGTTGTGCCGAAAATTTTCACTGTAAGTTAAGATAGAAAAAATATATTTTTTTTAATTTTAAATTTTTTTTATTATTTATTTTTTTTAAAATTAATTTTTAAAATTTTTTAAAATATATATATACATATTTTACCATTGTATTTTTATATGAAATTAATGTATACATAAGATATATATACAAATAAGATACATATCAACACAAATAATTAATTTTTCATTCACTTTCCTTCCGATTTTGGAGGGATTGATTTTGGTGAGTTGGAAGGAAAGTTAATCCATCAACTTTTCCATCATTCGTACTTTCCTTTTTTATCAAACATGATATTTTATTTATCCTTTCAACTTTTCATCCTTTCAATTTTCTATCCTCCTATTTTTTCATCATACCAAACGGAGCATAAGACTCCGATAATATCTAAACTAGCTCAGTGGTAAAAGAAAGATTAGGCTATATTACAAAGTGGCCGAATTAAGTTTGAGCCTTGCTACCTAAACAATTTGTCAAAAACTCTTTCATAATTATTTTCAAAAATCAGGTTGCAACTTTGTTTTTTCAGAAAGACAATACGATGAGAACTTGAATAGACAAACGAAAAAACAATAAAAATCACAAATACTAAAATACAATGTGTATTGATAATGAATCAATTTGAACCTAGTAATTTCTCATTTGAAACTTAAAAGAGAGTTAAGAAAACGAAACAATTTAGTATATTATAGGAGATTTGAATCCTTAAACCTGTGAACCATGATAGGAACCATGAGCCAAATATAAAACAAAAATAGATGTGGGCATTATCAAGATAATGCACCAATTTTTCTCTGCCTCACCAAATAAAATGACGCAAAGCATTTCTCCATCACTAAAAAATGCTCCCATTACCTCAAAAATACCCTCAAAACTCCCTGCAAGATTTTAGAAAGACAAGTACGCCACGCTCATCCACAAACTAATTCAGGCAAAGGTCAAGGGCAATCTTGTCACATCAAGCCTGATATAACTGCAACCCACTCCGCGCCACTCATTCAAACAGATGGTAGTCTTTTTTTTTTGAACAAACAACAAATTTAGTTCAGATAGACGATCAAACGTACAGTTGGACACATACACACACAGACACAAAATGGCTTTGAGGCTGCTATCAAGTCCACCTTCTTCCTCTCAATCACGACTCAGCAGCTTCGTTTCCAACTCAAGAACAGCCTCGAAATCGAGCTCTCTGATTCAATTGGCGCCAAAATCATTCGCGTTTTCGCCTCAGAGAAAAAGAACTTTGACGGTGAGGTCGTGTGTGAAATTGGAGGAGAAGAATGTTCCGGAAACGGGTAGTGAGTGGGGGAAAGTGTCGGCGGTGTTATTCGATATGGATGGAGTGCTCTGCAACAGTGAAGAGCCGTCAAGAATGGCCGCTGTGGATGTCTTCGCTGAAATGGGGGTCGAGGTCACCGTGGAGGACTTCGTGCCATTCATGGGCACAGGTAAAGTTCTTGGTGCAATTCAATTTTTGTTTTCCATTTTCATGAGGGAGATATTATTTTCCTCTATTCACCTATTTGTGCGCAACAAACCCCCCTCCGCCTCCCCCTCGACCCCCAGCCCCCACCAACGCCAACCAACAAGCATGTCGAAATATTTTATCTATATTCTTATTGTAGTGCGTAGTGGGAATACCAGAATACTTAATAGAGCACTTCCCTGGAATATATTATACATGGTGGTTCATTATCTCAATATATTAATGCGCATGTTGAACTAAGGAAGACTCCTTACTTTCTTCTTCTTTCTTAATTTTGAAACATTTTTTTTCTACTCTCTCTCTCTTCAATGAATTAGGTGAAGCAAAGTTTTTAGGAGGTGTTGCTTCTGTGAAGGGGGTTAAAGGATTTAATCCTGAGGCGGCAAAGAAGAGGTTTTTTGAGATATATCTAGATAAGGTGATTTGAACTCTCATTCTAGAGTTTTTGCTCCTGACATGTTCTCGGATAGGGAATTCTTTAGATGGTGCTACTTGCCAGTGTATATGTTGCTGCTGACAACCAAAATTGTATCACTTCTTGCAGTATGCAAAACCAAATTCTGGAATAGGATTCCCTGGAGCCCTAGAACTCATTACCCAGGTAGGTAAAGCAATAGTTTGGAATTGAGTTCATACCAAATACTTTGCGGCTACATTTGGTGGTATTATATGGTGGTTCTGTACAACAGTGTAAAAGTAAAGGCCTGAAAGTTGCCGTTGCATCTAGTGCTGACCGCATCAAGGTCAATGCAAACTTATCGGCCGCTGGTTTACCATTGTCAATGTAAGTTAATGTACTCATGTGCCCTGACCGCTCATCTGCATGATGAGTGTTGTTACCATGATCGTCATTTAAACTTTTATATGCATTACTCCCTGATCATCATATTAGTACTATCAAATATCATTTGGAGGCAAACTGTTAGTTATTCTGTTAGAAATAACTTACTTTCCGCTGGTGCAACTGTGTATGATTTTTGTGTCAGTAGTGAGTATATTGACTTTTGGTAATAGTTCAGTTATTGTCAGCGCTTTTTCCAAAGAGTTGAAATATGGGCATGTCCAGGTTCTAAAATTTTCAATGTCATTCTTTACATCAGAATAGCAGCTATTAGTGAAAATTATATTCTGTTTATCATCAACTATAGTCATCATATAGTTCAAAGTTATTTGTTATCGAATTCCATTTTTTTCCCTGAGTTAGCTGTTTTGATTCAGAAGCAAAGTTGTTAGTATCGTACGATACGCGATACGTATCGTACGATACGTTACGATACAGCCCTAAAACGATACGGATCGTAGTTATGTATCGTTTTTGCGTTGTATCGTCCGATACACGATACGTTTTTACGATACGATACGTATCGGTACGAAACGCACGATACGTGCAATTTTTTTTTTTTTTTTTTTTTAAAAACGACGTCGTTTTGTGCTCTGATTTTTTTTTTAAAAAAACGACAAGTGAAGACTTGTTGGCATCCGATCACAATGATGATGATGATGATGCATTTTCAATTGAAATTGAAGATTGAGTTCAAAATGGATGTTAGAAATTTGGATTAGAAGTCTCTTTGGTGTTTAAAGTTTGAATTAGTGAACTATGGTTGTGAACTTTGCATTATAATAGTAGTTGATTATGTTGATAACTTGAATAGTTGGTGGAGTATTAATGAAATGCTATATTTTTTATGAGTGTATGACTTTTTTTCAAAGGTATATATATTTTTTTATTATTTATTTAAAATTGCATCGTATCTTACGATACACGATACGATACAATATTTGTATCTTACGATACGCCTTCCGATACACGATTTGATAACTATGTTCAGAAGTGTCACCTTTCTCTATGGGACTATGTACACGTATAGAGGTTGATCTTTTTTTTTCCCTTCTTTTTCAGGCAGGTTAGATCAATTTGTTAAAGAGTTTATTTCTAATTCTAGGATTGACACACAGTTTTTAAATGTGTGCGTACTTGTGATTTTGACTGTCTACTTGGATTTTTATTAGCATTACTATTTTATTCTATCCTTAAGAAAATATATTGGTGATATAGTTAACAATTGTATAGTAGATTTCACACAGAGTAGAGTGTAGAATTGTATAGTAGATTGTACAGTGTATTAAATGTATTTACTTATCAGTTATCATGGGGATTCTAAATACATCTATACATGTGCACATACGGGAAACTAGATAAAGGAATCAGGGCATTTAATATTTTGCTGGCTGCTGGTACATTATTAATAAATTTGTGAAATTTGTTTAACTACCTTGCATATGTAGGCCTTAAGCAACAGAGACAGGAATCAGTCTCTTGAAGTTGAAACCAACATTGAGAATCTCCATTATTTCTTCAGCGTGTCCCTTATTATCCTACTAAATGTATAAGTGCCTTTGCTTCTTGCTTGTTCTTAGTTGGTTGAATAAGTTTCGACATCATTCATATGCCATGACAATGTTTATATCTGACAGTTGAATTGTAAGTTGAAGGACCATATGAGTACATTATTAAGGGGGTTGACGCTCCGTGTGTGTGTGTGTGTATGTGAGAAAGAGAGTGGATAGAATTCCAGCTTTATGGAAAGTAAATAGCAAGGGAATATAATTTATTGTTATGTGATGTGTTATTTCTAGACTAAGGGTAGTTTCGTGTAACTATGTAACCTAACAGCCTGCTCTCTTTCTCCAAATCTCTTCTCTCTTTTTCCTATTCATCTATTCACTTCCTAACCCTAATTACATCACATTCTAACTTTTGTGTATCTCTCTCTCTCTCTGTATATGGGAAGGTGTCTGAACATAGCATCCAGTTTTTTGGATAAGAATAAAACTAACAATAGGATACCAAAGTACTAAAATTGACTCTTTGGAATTGCGATGGCACTTGTTTCCTAATGTGGTCAATTGGTCATAGCATCATTTATTTCTTAAGCTGCCCAAATATTACTGTTAACTCTCACCTTATGAATGCTGTAGAAGTCTTTCTTGATTTTGGTGTTCTTAGTCTCTTATTGTCAGGTTTGATGCCATTGTGTCAGCTGATACATTTGAGAATTTGAAGCCAGCTCCTGATATTTTCTTAGCTGCATCAAAGGTTCTGAATGTGCATCCGAGTCAGGTACACTCACCTGAAAGAGTTAGTCTATTCGGAAATTATTAATACAGTCCAATGACAATTCTGAAACCTCCGGAATTAAAAAAAAAGGAAATAATTATTAGTGCTACATAATATGCGATAACTAGTATCTTATCTTTTTGATAATATGTATCTTTTGTACTTGATCTACGCATCCCAGCCCCCCTGATTAGTGGGGACCAGATTGAGTAATGAGCTTTTGACCTTTTTATTTGATTCAAGCTGCTAACAAATTATGGCTACTGTCTTTAGGTTCTGATGCAATACTTTTTTAATCTGGAAACCTTTCAATATCATATGAACATATTAACTTCAATGTGGACACACAATAATTGACTGTTTGGCATTCGATTTCACTATCATCATGAACAGTTTCCAGCTATCATATATCTCTTTTCTTTTTTTCATGTTCTAGAAATGTTAGATGAAAAAGTTCTTGAATTGAGCCTGTGAAGTTGTTGAACCACCAACCGCTCTAAACGCGGAAGCTATTATAGAAAAGTGTAACATAAGTATTTATCTACTACCCCCAACCACATGTGGCCTCTCTTGGGTGGTCTGTCCACATAATTGTTTTTGTAGGGAGGAGCCTTGGTGTGATTTGAACTATGGACTTCTAAGCTCTACTATGTTAAACCACCAACTGCTCTAAAAGCTTAAGCTATTAATGAGGAGTGTAACATAAGTGTTATATCTAATAGAACTTTTTAAAAATTTAAATTCTTAAGCTGAATGGTTCTTCGTTGTCTTAATTGCAATTGAAGATTGTTCATCTGCAGATTTGAATAACGTTTAAGAATTATTCATTTGCCTCTTTTTCCCAGTGTATTGTGATTGAAGATGCATTAGCTGGAGTACAAGCTGCCAAAGCAGCTCAAATGAGGTAACTGGCAATATAAACTGCATTTTATGTTGCAATTTTGTGGGTACAACATATCCACATCCCCTTTCAACGGTTTAGCATATTTGTCCAAGATTGAGATTCTCTGTTTTTTTTTTTTTTTGTGTAACTGTATGGTGTCAGTCATATAACCGTATAACATATATCTGTTCTGTTGCTCTTTCTCTAAAGTCTATGGATTCACCTATCTGTTCTGCTTGCAGATGTATAGCTGTCACAACGACATTATCAGAAGATTCCCTTAATGCAGCTGGTCCATCCCTTATCAGAAAGGATATTGGAAATGTTTCTCTTCATGATATTCTCAGTGGAGGCATTGGTTGTCATAGTATGTAGTTCAAAAGATATAACACAGATGTTTGTTTGACCACTAATAATGTAGAATGATGAAGCTACCGTTTATGCCATTTCTTAAAGAACTTTGAGTAAGAATATTTGTCTTCTATTGTATGTTCTCCATTTGTAAAGTTTTGCTCTTCTTGCTGCTGAAGTGAATCCTTTTGTTCCAATTTATTGATTCTATGATTGTTGGTTTGTGGATTTCTTAATATTGCTGGGGCAAAGCTTTTAGCTATGATGGTATTATTACCCTAGCAATTATCTGCTGAGAAACGGCTAATATTAGATTTTTCCCTGGAAAAATAAGGTCTGATGATGACCAACCATTGCAGATTCGAAGATGCAGGAACTTCAACACTTTAGTGCTTCTTCACAGACATTGCCTCCGTCAATGAAGAACAGAACAGATAATGGGTCATTCCAGAATACAAATTCTACAAACAGTGGGGTATCCTCAATGAGAGGGTAAGAGAGTTTCTCTGTCGACAATTTTCCATTAAATCATTCTGATTTCGATTATCATCCTCTATTTTTTTTTACTTCAACTCCTTTATTGGCATTTTTGATTTTCGTCAATTTTATTTTTCATATGAATATTGTTCCCAGTTTCTTATTAAACCATTTCATATCACGTACGAGCATAGTCCCTTTTCTGTGTACAACAAAACTTGATAGTCACAAAGATGTAGAATAAAGAACTTTTATAGTAGGCCAAAAATATATTGGAAAAGACTATACTACCACTAGTACTATTACTCTAACTGCCCCATACACTCGGGATGTGGTGGCACAAAACATCAGAAGTTTGTCAAAAAGGAGATGAAGTGCATAATTATGTTAGAATTTGTAAATAAAATTTTCAACTGCATAGTGGAAGGAAGAAAGGAAGAGAGATAGTGTCCTTGGAAGATAATGACACTAAAAATGGCAGTCAATGTCAATATATTTCATACGCTCATGGAACATCGAGTTGTGGACGATTTGAATTGCCTTGTGGTGTTGCAATACATAGGGGTAGTTTAGATAAAGAAATGTCAAGCTCAGCAAGCAGCCAACGTGACTAAACTATAATGAGCAACAATAGTCTGCTTCTTGCTTTTCTGAGAAATAAGAGAATCACTATGAAATAGAAAGAAACCAATGATGAACTTGCGATCCATAGATTCACTAACCTAGTTTGCATCCAAATAAACATGTTCCAAAGAAGAAAAAGGAAACAATAGGTTGCTGTGCAAATTACCTCGAAAGTACCAAAGAATATGGAGAACAACAATTCAATTAACAGTGGTAGGTGAAGTAACAAATTGACTAACACCCTGAACAACATAATAGATGTCTTGGCGAGTAAGTGTAAGATACGCTAAACTGCCAACAATAGTATAATATAGTATGGGATCAGACAATGGAACACTATTATAGTAAGCGTAGCGAATATTGATCTCTAAAGGTGTCACTACTGTCCGCCGGCTCGCTGTACAATATTTTCAATGCTTACTTAGACTGAGAGAAGAGATAACCATTGAGAGAAGAAACAACCTCAATACCTAAAAAATACTAAATCTAACTCAAATCTTTTATCTCAAAATGAACTTGCAACTGATTTTTCAACAACAGTATGCTGGTAGTGTTGTCACCAATAGTACTCATATAATCAATAGAAGAGAGCAATAGAACTGGAGAAATTGGATCATATGAATAGAGTAGAGTCATGATCACTGGCATAAAAACTCAAGTCACATGATTCTGAGAAAAACTTGACCAGTTGAAGACCATACAATGATTTTGCGAAGTTTGCACACTTGATTGGGACTATGAGACAGACCAGGAGGAGGATTCATGAAAACCTTTTGCAGTTAGATATCCATTGAAAAAACATTTTTTACATCCATCTGCAAAAGTCTCCATTGTTGAATAGCAACTATTACAACTAGGGGTGTCAGCTCTGACCCGTTGATACGAATTCGACATGAACCCGACATGAATGATTATAAGATTATAAAATTGACACGAATATTAAATATGCATGATAAATAGTCTAAACTAATGTTTAATATTCAGAATACATTAAATAATTTTTTTTTTCGTGGGTCTTGACACGAACACGATACGAATAACACGACATGTGGGTCACGCGAATACAACATGATTGACACACCTAACTACAACTATTGTGCAAACAGTAGTCATCTTACTAACAAGAACAAAAATCTTTGTAGTCTATGTCATACTCTTGAGCAAATCCTTGACTAGAAATCGAGCCTTGTATCTTTCCACATAACAATCATACTTAGTTTTGATTTTTTAAACCTATTTACACCCCATTGTGCATTTTTCAGGGTTAATGACACTAACTCCCAGTTTCAGTATTATGTAAAGCAAAAGTTCCTCCTCCATTGTTTATTGCCAAAGAAGATCAAGGACAACCTGCTTATAGGAGGTTGGTTCTGTCATATAATGGAGAGAAGCTAAAAAAGAACAAAAATAAGAATAATAGCAAGAGTTAGAGAAACCAACCTGATTTGGACACTTACTGGTGTGCTAAGGATAGCGAGGAGCACGATTCTATGGATGTGGTACCTTTCCCTTCCTCTCCTCTCACTCAATCAAGTTCTAACAATATGCTCATTCGCATTCCTGCGACCGTGGGTATGATGGCACCATTTGTTGGCTTACAACAAAACTTAGTAATCCTAAAAATGCAGAATAGAGGTCTTTTAAAATAGAGTAAAACAATAATAGAAAAAGACTAGACTACCCATGATATTGTTACTCTAACGGAAAGTACATTACCTTAAGAGTGAACAGCTTATCACTCTGGCAGTGGTACATTCTACTCGTAAAAATTAAGTATAACTTTCCTAGATTAATTTGACAATTAAATATGAACTCTGTATTTCGATGGTCATGGAACATTTAGTCTGGGAGTGGGGACTAATTGTGAATCTGCTAGACCCATAACATGTGGGATAATCCTGGACACCAGTTGCCCAATCACTAGACTCATCTAGAGCAGCCACTGAAGTTGAAGTGCCTCGGCCTGGATATTAAGACTCCAAATAACTAAGTTAAAAGTTTTTGAAGGATGGCAATAATAAGGAAAAGAAAGCTACTACTGTGGACGCTTCAACCTTTGACACACCTCCAGCCTTTCCTAAGTCATGTGGATTCTACCTAGTTATGAACCCTTTTCAAGTTGCAATTTTTCCTAATGGAGGCAACAAAATGACATAATTAGTAGAAAATTTGAATGCATCGATAATTTAAAGTTCACTAGTTGTTTGAAGTCTTGAAAAATCTTGCATGTTAGATATTCACTCAACAATGGAAGCCTCCAAATCGAGCCAACTCCTTCTTCCCTATATTAAACATCGAATATCTATCAGCCAAAGATGGATATTATCTTTCTTGTAAAGAAAATTGAGGACGAAGGCTCAATTAAGCCATTGCCTTTAAAGAGAAGAACTCTATATATAATTTCATTAAGAACCATAGCATCCTTTCACTTAAAAAGAAGATATTCATTTTGTTGCTCATAAACCACATGAATTCACACAAAATTCCTTGCTCAATTTGACTAGGTATAATGCTTGAAGGTTTGTTTTTCTCAGCGAATGCAACTGACCTTTATGGTACATAGAATTCCACCCCTCTTTAACAGCCCCCCATCCCCACAAAAAAAAAAAAAAAAAGAAAAAAGAAAGAAAGAAAGGAGAAAAAGAACCAAAAAATGAAAATAAGAAAACCTAAAAGCCACCCTTTCACTTTCATAAAATCCTCTGAGAGGTCATAGAATTCGACGATTTTTCACATTCCTAGACATGTTAAGTCTCCCAAAAGCAGAAAACAAAAAATTAAATCTGAAAATAACTGATATATTGTTGTTTATTATTTACCAGCCATGTCATCATTCTGATGGGGATCGTGTAGAAATTGGATAGATATTTTAGATTAATCATGAGAGTAATTTAGTATTTATCTTTTAAGTATTTTCTTTTAACTTTTAAGGGTTTAGTTGTCATTATGACTATTTATTTTTTTTAGAGTTCTTTTAGGATTTGTGGTCTCCCTATATATATAGCGGATATGGTATTTTTTTTTTGGTAGACTTTGATTATTATTGATATTGAATCCTGATATTACTTCTTCCTCAAATTCTTTCTTTATTCTCATCCCTTCTTCTTCCATTATCATCCCTAATTCTCCTTTATACGATCTACATCAATTTGGTATCAGAGCTAATACAATTTACATCAATTTGGTATCAGAGCTAGTGTGATCTACATCAATTTGGTATCAGAGCCCAACTTCGATTCGAAAAAAAAAAAAAACACTGTTCATCGGCACTGTCTGGTTAAAAAAAATAATCTACATATCAAAGGTCTGTATAGCAAAAAAAAAATCAAAAAAATCGTTACTGTTCTTTGTTCATCGCGACTGTTCATATTGCAGAAACATCCTAAGTAAATTCCAGAATTGCAAAAAGATCCCCAAATGGTCCAAAAAATTACAAAATCACCCCATAAGTTTCAGCAAATTGTAGAAATACCATCCAGAAGCTCTAGAATTGTAGAAACATCCCTACAAGTTTTAAAAATTACATAATCATTCCCATAAAGTTTCAGAATTTCAGAATTCTCTCAAAGAAAAACGTGAATTATGGTATGCATACTCCTATATAAATTTGAAACTAATATTTTTATTCATTGAAAAATTAAAAAAATTGCAAAGGGTTCAAATTATTTGTCAATTACATTCTTGAACTTGTTTTGGTGTCATTCCCTTGTTCTAAGACTTACTCATGAGTATGTATGATGCCTCTAATCCACATATTTACCCTAGTTTAAGAGTCCCTCCTCGAGGTCATCATCATATCAAGTCTAGGTATGTCTACAAGAATTCAACACCTATTGCTAACTCAATTAAAGATCTTTCTACATTTTGTAGTACTCTAGATCCTAATTAATTATTGGATTGGTTAGCTAATTTAGAACAGTATTTTGATTGGCATGGCATGTCGGATTCCCATTGCGTCCGTTTTGCTAAATTGATGTTGGAGGGTTCTACTAAGAAGTATTGACAAACAATCCAAAGAAGCCTTGACCCCTAAAGAAAATTACCTATCACTTGGGTTGAAATGAGAAATAAATTGAAAGAGAAATATTTGACTACTTCCTACATGGATCAAGTTTATGACCAATGACTCAATCTTAAACAATATTTTTCTAGTATTTTTGATTACTTTGTCCAGTTCGATTATCTCATGTACTTGTGTGACATTGTTGAAGAACCTTTGACAATTGATCAGTTTATTCTTGGGTTGAGACAAAAAATTAGTAGGGAGGTCAAACTATACAC